CGGTGTGTGAGTATCACGGTTGGGAAATCAAAAGGCCAGATTCGTCACGGTTATCTCATGCGTTTCCTTTGTCGCAAATACGCGCGTGCGCAGGATGCTGCAGTACGAACACGGTCGCGACAGCAACAAATGGCTTTACAGTGGATCATATTTCTGGGAATATGCTAAGAAGGACATTTCGCGGCGTGAAAACGCCTATACTTTCGGCCTGGGTATTTTCGATTTCACATATGTACTCGTTCCGATAAATACCGAGTGAGTAGTCGTCGCGTCTAGCCGTAGCACCACATGTATTTCGGTAGTCTAACATCGGCGTTACTGATGTTGGACCTCATGTGTGCCTTAGGAGTCACTGGAGCCTGATCGTGATCGAGCGCATCCCGAGGCCCGACGACCCGATTCCCATGAACTGCGTGCTCTGGCACGCTGACTCGTACGGCACGCATGCCGGTGTCGATGCCCCGTTGCGAAGGTACTCTCTTTTTAAGGGCAGTCTGCTATTGTCACGTACAGAAGTTCGGGGTTACGATAGCATTGAATCTATGTCTCCCGGTGTGTAGGTACTTGCGAGACGAGGTGTTAAGATACTGTGCATGGATCAGTGAGTCGGACGCAGATGCATGGGCGGCGAGCATCCCACTAAGGCTGGTCACGGTGAGTGCTGTTGCCTTGTGTGTACGAGCTTTGAAACAATCGCATCTCCCTTTCCCTGCACGCAATTTCCACACCGAAACCCCACTCCCATCCCGGCCCCTCACCACGCGCTCACGCACCCTGTAATTGTCTAGATACCCGTGCAGGCAAATGAGAACGACTGTGTGTGTGTTCACGATGCGTGTGATGCACACGTTGGTCGAGGATGTTTTCCATAAACTACCGGCGTGTGAGCTTGTAGGGACGCCACTCCATTGGCGCCGTCAGTACCGTCACGATTTGAGAAGTGGTCTGTGTATTTTCGGGCAAAAACAATGTTGGAGGTTGGAGGTGGGGCAGGCGGCGGTGATAAAGCTGGTAATGGGGCGGGTATCAAGCGAGAATGAGGCGGGAAGCATGGGGGAATGAGGCCCGAAGCAAGGGGGAATGGGGCCTGAAGCAAGGGAGAATGAGGCGGGTAGCTGTGAAGAATGGGGTGGGAAGCAAGGGGAAATGGGGTGGGTAGCAGGGGGGAATGAGGCCGGAAGCGAGGGGACATGAGGCGGGAAGCAGAGGGAATGAGGGGGGTCGCAAGGGAGAATGAGGCGGGAAGCAAGGGGGACGCGGCTCTGAAGCAAGGGGAATGAGGGAGGTAGCAAGGGAGTATGAGGCCCGAAGCAAGGGGAATGAGGGAGAGGTAGAAGGTGAGTATGAGGCCCGAAGCAAGGGGGAATGAGGGAGGTAGCAAGTGAGTATGAGGCCCGAAGCAAGGGGAATGAGGCCGAAGCAAGGGGGAAAGAGGAGTAGCAAGTGATATGAGGCCCGAAGCAAGGGGGAATGAGGCCTGAAGCAAGGGGGAATGGGAGGGTAGCAAGGGAGAATGAGGAGGGTAGCAGTGAAGAATGGGGTGGGAAGCAAGGGGGAATGGGGTGGCTAGCAAGGGGGATGAGGCCGGAAGCGAGGGGACATGAGGCGGGAAGCAAAGGGGAATGAGGGGGGTAGCAAGGGAGAATGAGGCGGGAAGCAAGGGGAATTGGGGCCTGAAGCAAGGGGGAATGAGGGGGGTAGCAAGGGAGTATGAGGCCCGAAGCAAGGGGGAATGAGGCCTGAAGCAAGGGAGAATGAGGCCTGAAGCAAGGGGGAATGGGGAGGGTATAAAGGGAGAATGAGGAGGGTAGCAGTGAAGAATGGGGTGGGAAGCAAGGGGGAATGGGGTGGGTAGCAGGGGGGAATGAGGCCGAAAGCGAGGGGACTAGAGGCGGGAAGCAGAGGGAATGAGGGAGGTAGCAAGGGAGAATGAGGCGGGAAGCAAGGGGGACGAGGAGCTGAAGCAAGGGGGAATGAGGGAGGTAGCAAGTGAGTATGAGGCCCGAAGCAAGGGGGAATGAGGCCTGAAGCAAGGGGGAATGGGGAGGGTATCAAGGGAGAATGAGGAGGGTAGAAGTGAAGAATGGGGTGGGAAGCAAGGGGGAATGGGGTGGCTAGCAAGGGGGGATGAGGCCGGAAGCGAGGGGACATGAGGCGGGAAGCAGAGGGAATGAGGGGGGTAGCAAGGGAGAATGAGGCAGGAAGCAAGGGGGACGCGGCTCTGAAGCAAGGGGGAATGAGGGAGGTAGCAAGTGAGTATGAGGCCCGAAGCAAGGGGGAATGAGGCCTGAAGCAAGGGGAAATGGGGAGGGTATCAAGGGAGAATGAGGAGGGTCACAGTGAAGAATGGGGTGGGAAGCAAGGGGGAATGGGGTGGGTAGCAAGGGGGGATGAGGCCGGAAGCGAGGGGACATGAGGCGGGAAGCAGAGGTAATGAGGCGGGAAGCAGGAGGGAGTGAGGCGGGTACATGGGAGGAATAAGTGTGTGAGTGAAGAACAAGGAAGCGGGTAGCATGGGGGAATGAGGACAAGATCAATACGGAATTGTTTGTTCATCCGTCCTGCCAGCTTGATATGCCAACAAACATGACACAAAGCGCAATGGAGAGGCCTTGAATCAGTCCTGCATGACTTGACAACAAGTGTGGCCAAATGAGAGTGTTGGCCACAACCAGTCCTCCATGTCTAGAGAACACTACCCGTAGGGAAGTGTTTGTCACTGGCGTTCCTGCTTGACATGTATACAAACAATACACAATGGGTCGGTGTGATGCTGCAAAACATACCTGCATGTCGCCACAACTCTAGTGGGTAGAACAGCAGGGGTTTCTCAACTCCGTTCCAGCATGAACCTAGAACATACAACACAGCATGGTCTTGGGTCCCTGCATAAAGGTTGCCCTGTATGGCATGAGAGCAGCCATGCCCCATACGGGGAGTTTGTGTCTGGCTCTATTACCGTATTATTGCACCTCAATTGGCATGAGAGGAGACATGCCCATACGCGTTGCATAACGACCAGGCAGCAATCAAATAATGCGTACTTACTAATCAATCGATGTATGAGAATGACTGCTCCACCGCAAACCGTTATGTACATGTTCTGTGAAGGTGGTGTTTGGTTTTACACTGTTATGTTGCATACTTGTCACTATGCTAATGGGTTAGGGGGACTCCTGTTACGAGTGCAATTGAGTGAGCGAACGAGGATTGCACTATCGGGAAAAAAGTACAACTGAGCGAAGGTATGAGCGAAAGGTTATATTGCGAAACCACAGTGGTAACGGTAATGGACTGTGGTTGTCGCGCGACGGGCATGGCACTAAGGTTGGGAAAATGTCGAGGCGAAGGTCCGGAGCGCGGGTTACCGCCGAGCCGTGAGGTCGGGGTGCAACGTGCGAAAGTGGGGGGCGGATTGTCGATGCGAGTGGTAACGGTGCTGACTGAGGTGCTACAGTGATGGACGCGTTGAGCAGGGATGCGAAGTAAGGAAAACGAGATTTTCCTTACAACTCCATAACCCCCTAATTCTATTTTTATCATTTACGTACACCACACTATTGAGGCTTTGCAAACTAATGTGCCATTACGTGCCCCGCCCTGCGCCATTCCACTCGACTCCACGCTATGCCACGTACACGAATCTCCCTGATTTGGGAACCAGTCGCAACCACACACAAGGAACTTTTGAGTTTGCGTTTTTATCGCAGGCGTGCCGCAACGGCTTCGTGTCGACCTGTCGCATCGCTGTACGACTTGCTGCGATCGAGCGTCGCCGTTTCTCCGCAGACCCTATGTGACTCTTGACGTGCAGCTTGTGTAGGTTTGTGTGGCACGCGAGGCACTTCATTGTAAACAGTACGACAACCCGGGCAGAATAATTATGACCCTCGCAAACCCAGATACAGTAGCGCATTTGACTGTCGGGTTTAACAAAAAGAAGCCCACCCTGCCGCTTGTGGACTTATACTCAATTAAGCACGTTAGGTCCCACGGAATCTTAACACGGCAGTGCTGCATTTTTTTCCTTTTTACACCTCAACCACCAGGCGATTGGTTGAGGGCGGAAAAGGGGGACCTGGCAGTCGCAACGTGCACCATAGCTGGAAACACTCAAACCCTCATCACCTCCGTGCTCCCCTTACATGTCTCCAGCTGTGACGATCGTCTGCTCTAGGCCCCAGACTTTGCCTCGTCCCTCTCCCTCCTCAACCATTTTTTTATGCTCGTAGACTGCTGTCAGGTTCTAGGCGGTAGCACAACCCGCAACCTCATAGTACTGCGTGAATGGAAAGCTAGACATGGTAACAAGGAAGTCAGACAATGAAGGGGCCCGAGGGGGCGATCGTACTGGCTGAATCGACAAAAACCCCCGACGAAACAAAGTTTGCGGAGTTAGTAACAGCAGATAAGATGGCCGAGCTCGTAATCGAGTATCGCAAAAATAATGCATCGACGGCGCGAGATGTTGTTGATTCCAGACGTGTCTCGTCATCCGGTGACGAATCAAATAGCGACTGCGATGTGGAGCCATACGCAAACAAGGGCATATCATCCCCTTCAAAACCAAGGGATAAGCGCGTGAAGCGCTTAGATGATCTCGTTCCCAAAGGCGGCCAGAAAGGTATGTGTTTATGGTCGCAGATGCGGAATATTCTACTTGTATGCATGAATTGATGCTTGTAGTCGTGTCTGACCTGTTGGAGGTTATCGTCTCTCCAATTGTGTTTCCACATCAGCGATAGCAGACAAGCGTGACAACCGGGGGGGGCGTAAGCACCGTCCAAGAAAAAGAGGCACTCGTTCACATCGTGAGGAAACGCCTGCGTCTGAAGGCGACGAGGAGGGCAAAGACGGGGGACCTGACAGCTTAGGTACGCTGTGGGTGTGATATCGACGGTTTATATTTTGCACGTTACTCATAACAATGACGCCGCATGTCATGCTGCAACTTCCTGCCAATAAGATAATGTGTGCACAGTATTTCTTATGTACCTGTCATGTCCGCCTTCGTAGATGGGACGGCAGGCCAACGCGCTCGTGGTGGCGGAAAGCGCAACGGCGGCAGGGCTGCCGCGGCCAAGGGCGGTCCCTCGGGCAGGCAGTCGCAGGATGCAGATGGAGGCGACGAGGGGGATCATGCCGAGCCGGAAGCTCGTGGTGGCGGAAAGCGCACCGGTGGCAGGGCTGCCGCGACCAAGGGCGGTCCCTCGGGCTCGCATGATGCGGATGGTGGCGACGAGAAGGATCATGCCGAGCCGGAAGCTCGTGGTGGCGGCATACGCAACGGCGGCAGGGCTGCCGCGGCTAAGGGCGGTCCCACGGGCAGGCAGTCGGAGGATGCAGATGGTGGCGACGAGGGGGATCATGCCAAGCCGGAAGCTCGTGGTGGCAGCATGCGCAACGGCGGTAGGGCTGCCGCGGCCAAGGCCGGTCCCTCGGGCTCACAGGATGCGGATGGTGGCGACGAGAAGGATCATGCCGAGCCGGAAGCTCGTGGTGGCGGCATGCGCAACGGCGGCAGGGCTGCCGCGGCTAAGGGCGGTCCCACGGGCAGGCAGTCGGAGGATGCAGATGGTGGCGACGAGGGGGATCATGCCAAGCCGGAAGCTTGTGGTGGCGGCATGCGCAACGGCGGTAGGGCTGCCGCGGCCAAGGCCGGTCCCTCGGGCTCACAGGATGCGGATGGTGGCGACGAGAAGGATCATGCCGAGCCCGAAGCTCGTGGTGGCGGCATGCGCAACGGCGGCAGGGCTGCCGCGGCTAAGGGCGGTCCCTCGGGTAGGCAGTCGCAGGATGCGGATGGTGGCGACGAGAAGGATCATGCCGTGCCTGCATGCCGTGGCGTTAACGATCATGATGAGGACGAGCCAGCAGCTGTGACTGATGGGAAAGGTGGACGTGAAGCTGTGATTCCCTACCAACGGCGCAAGGCTGTGGATCCGAGCAGTTGCGACCATAAGGCGAGACAAGCTCGGCACGGCCCCAATGTGCACGTTTCGAGCTCGTCTGGTTCCGAGGAAGATTCGAGCGACAGTGAGTCGGGCAGCTCATCCGGGAGTGAGGAGGTATACGAGGACGAGGTTGAGGAGGAGGAGGACGAGGATGATGAGGAGTTGGAGCCGGAGAGCGAGGATGGGGAGGAGGCTCGGCCTTTGAAGAGGAGGAGTGTGCGGAAGCTCAAGAAGGGCAACGCTAAGCAAAAATCGGAGAGGGGACGGGTGAAGATCTGTAAACAGAGTGTGCGTCGTGCCAAACCACATGGCAAGCGCCAGAGACCTCGATTCGAAGCTAAAATAGTGGGTGTGCATAGCAAGGCGAAGCGGGAGTTGAATTTTTACGAATCAATGGGGATACGATGTCCATCAAGCTCTCATGAACGGCAAGCCGCGGACCCGTACGCTGCGTTACGCGATCCGATGGGTTCGGCTGGGAAGGGAGATCAGATGGCTTGGGGGTCAGCGCGGTTTGGCAAAGAAGCGATGGACCCGCCCCCCAACCATATGGGGGGTCGCGCGGTTCATGTGAAGAACGAGGGGGCAACGAAGCGGCACGAACCCTCGGTAGCTGCAGCAGCGAATGACGGTGTGGGAGGAGGTGTGTGGGCGAATGCCTTGGGTGAATGTGGCGGCGGTGTGGAAGGCTCCATGTGGGATGTACGGGAGAGCAGGGGAGAAGGGGGGGACGAAAAAATGGATCCGGCGACTAAGGAGGGGAGGGGAGAGAGCATGGGCACACCTGGCGCATCCAGTCGGCCGGATGTGGCTGGCGGCAGGACTGTGGAGCAGCTCATGCGAGAGCTTGCCCAGCGGGATCGCGAAATCGCTGCACTCAAGGCAAGGCCAGGATCAAAAGGAGCTGTCAAGCCCTGCACCCCTCCATCTAGGCCTCCTCCTCTAGCATCTCTGTCGAGCGGCCCATCTATAGGGGGCCTCGATCCAGACGTGGCGCCAGAAAGCCCAGCGACGGTAGACGTAGCGGTCCGTCGAACGCGTGGGATGCCCACACCCAAGCTGCTGAAGGTGAGATTGTTTTAGTGTTAAACAATGTGTGGCATGGGGCTTTGTGATAGCTGCAGCTCTCTCTCTCTCAACCCCTCTTGCTGCTGGTAAGCGTGTTTGTGGCATTATGCGCAGTGATAGCGGCAAGTCTGCAGTGGGATAGGCATTCCCAGTACGCCTCGCTTCAGGGACGTGGCGCTGGGCGTACGATGCTCTCACATTCTGCTATGGTGAGCTCTGGTGAGCTCTGGGTCGCGGGCAGAATGTGAGAGCATCGTACGCCCAGCGCCACGTCCCTGAAGCGAGGCGTACTCGGAATGCCTATCCCACTGCAGACATGCCGCTATCACTGTGCATAATGCCACAAACACGCTTACCTGCAGCAAGAGGGGTTGAGAGAGAGAGAGCTGCAGCTATCACTGAGCCCCATGCCACACATTGTTTAACACTAAAACAATCTCACCTTCAGCAGCTTGGGTGTGGGCATCCCACGCGTTCGACGGACCGGTACGTCTACCGTCGCTGGGCTTTCTGGCGCCACGTCTGGATCGAGGCCCCCTATAGATGGGCCGCTCGACAGAGATGCTAGAGGAGGAGGCCTAGATGGAGGGGTGCAGGGCTTGACAGCTCCTTTTGATCCTGGCCTTGCCTTGAGTGCAGCGATTTCGCGATCCCGCTGGGCAAGCTCTCGCATGAGCTGCTCCACAGTCCTGCCGCCAGCCACATCCGGCCGACTGGATGCGCCAGGTGTGCCCATGCTCTCTCCCCTCCCCTCCTTAGTCGCTGGATCCATTTTCTCGTCCCCCCCTTCTCCCCTGCTCTCCCGTATATCCCACATGGAGCCTTCCACACCGCCGCCACATTCACCCAAGGCATTCGCCCCAACACCTCCTCCCACACCGTCATTCGCTGCTGCAGCTACCGAGGGTTCGTGCCGCTTCGTTGCCCCCTCATTCTTCACATGAACCGCGCGACCCCCCATATGGTTGGGGGGCGGGTCCGTCGCTTCTTTGCCAAACCGCGCTGACCCCCAAGCCATCTGATCTCCTTTCCCAGCCGAACCCCTCGGATAGCGTAACGCAGCGTACGGGTCCGCGGCTTGCCGTTCAAGAGAGCTTGATGGACATCTTATCTTCATTGATTCGTAAAAATTCAACTCCCGCTTCGCCTTGCTACGCACACCCACTATTTTAGCTTCGAATCGAGGCCTCTGGCGTTTGCCTTGTGGTTTGGCACGACGCACACTCTGTTTACAGATCTTCACCCGTCCCCTCTCCGATTTTTGCTTAGCGTTGCCCTTCTTGAGCTTCCGCACACTCCTCCTCTGCAAAAGCCGAGCCTCCTCCCCATCCTCGCTCTCCAGCTCCAACTCCTCATCATCCTCGTCCTCCTCCTCCTCAACCTCGTCCTCGTATACCTCCTCACTCCGGATGAGCTGCCCGACTCACTGTCGCTCGAATCTTCCTCGGAACCAGACGAGCTCAAAACGTGCACATTGGGGCCGCGCCGAGCTTGTCTCGCCTTATGGTCGCAACTGCCCGGATCCACAGCCTTGCGCCGTTGGTAGGGAATCACAGCTTCACGTCCACCTTTCCCATCACTCACAGCTGCTGGCTCGTCCTCATCATGATCGTTAACGCCACGGCATGCAGGCACGGCATGATCCTTCTCGTCGCCACCATCCGCATCCTGCGTCTGCCTACCCGAGGGACCGCCCTTAGCCGCGGCAGCCCTGCCGCCGTTGCGCATGCTGCACCACGAGCTTCCGGCTCGGCATGATCCTTATCGTCGCCACCATCCGCATCCTGTGAGCCCGAGGGACGGCCTTGGCCGCGGCAGCCCTACCGCCGTTCGCAATGCCGCCACCACGAGCTTCCGGCTCTTGGCATGATCCCCTCGTCGCCACCATCTGCATCCTCCGACTGGCCGCCAGTGGGACCGCCCTTAGCCGCGGCAGCCTGC